CCAGCCAAGTCGGGGGGCAGCGGGAAGGGCGAGCTGCGCCTCTCCCGCTGTCCCCCGAGTTTGCGGGGCTGGCGACGGGGAGGAGCAGGCTTCTCCCCCCCGCCAGCCTCCAAACCATGTCGGGAGACAGCGGGATTGCGCGCTGCGCCTCTCCCGCTGTCCCCTGAGTTTGCGGGGCTGGCGACGGGGAGGAGCAGGCTTCTCCCCCCCGCCAGCCTTCTAGCCAAGTCAGGGGACAACGGGAATGGCGCGCTGTGTTTCTCCGCTGTCCCGGACGGCTTTCAAAAGCCTGCCTTCAAAAGCCGTCAGGGGACAGCGGAGAAACGCGCTGCCTTTCTCCGCTCTCCCGGGAAGGCAGGCAGGGGGGAGCAAAGACTTTTGCCCCCCGCCGGCCTTCAGAAGAGGTCCTGGACCTCTTCTGAAGGCTGGCGGGGGCAAAAGTCTTTGTCCCCCCTGCCTGCCTTCCCAGGGGCTTTTAAATCGCCCCGGACAGGGAGAAGTCCTCTGCTGTCCCGGGCGATTTTAAAATGCCGCCCGCCAGCATTTTAAGATCGCCCCAGACAGCGGAGAAGTCCTCCGCTGTCCCGGGGTTTTTTAAAATGCTGGGGGTGGGAAGAAAAGCCCTTGTCCCCCTCCCAGCCTTCAGAAGAGGTCGGGGGGCAGACTGTCCCCGGACCTGGTCTGAAGGCGGTTTCCCTAGGAACGCATTAATTGATTTTCAATGCATTCCTATGGGAAACCGTGCATCGCAAGACGAAAAACTCGCAAGACGAAGAGACTTGCGGAACGAATTAATTTCGTCTTGCGAGGCACCACTGTACTAACAATACCGAAGGAGACATTTTCTTTGGTGGAGAGAGTGAACACTGAATGCACAATTTCTTAGTTACTTTTGACCACTCCTTCCTTCCTTCCTTCCTTCCTTCCTTCCTTCCTTCCTTCCTTCCTTCCTTCCTTCCTTCCTTCCTCCCTCCCTCCCTCCCTCCCTCCCTCCCTCCCTCCCTCCCTCCCCTCCCTCCCCTCCTTGCTGGTGCCTCCCCATAGAACATGTCAGATTTCATTTCATGAAATGTATATACCGCTTGATTCTAAAAACAAAACAGAGCTCCAAGTGGTTTACAAAAACAAATGTGGAAGCTCCTCGGGGCAGGGACCTGTTTTGTTTGGTGGTGCTTTAATTAAAATGAGAGCAGCTAGGAATCCACAAGACTCTGAGCAACATGGATCTGAAGCTGCTGGATCAGCCAGGTGGGCCCTGTTACCAGGGAAGAGAGAAAGAGTGGTGGTACCATGCTAAAATAATCCTTCTGCATCAGTCCACACTGACACACTGCTGCCCATGACTCTCCACACACTGAAGTCCCAGAATAGTAGCTGTACAACCCCCCCCCTTAATGTCAAAGTAAAGGCCTTTGAGAAAGAAACACAAGAATTACACATACCTAAGGCAGGTTAGACTGCCAGCTTACATGCGTGGGGGAAAAATGGAGGAGGGGTGCGCAGATCTGTAAAACCAGAATGGCTTTCAGGTTGGGAGATGAGAGCTGAACTCCTCAATTTTTTGCTGGCATTTAGTTTTAATTTAAAAAGTGGGTGTGCAGGGAGAGAAGAGAATTTGGAAAAACACTGCACTAGCTGCCCTGCTACTATCTCAATCTGGATCACAAGCTACATTTATAGCCAACTCACAAACAGCTAGGTCACTCTAATTTTGCTAACCCCTATGAAACTCCATTAGCTCTTTGGTTTGCTGAACAATTATGGAAGGAAACTCCACCGCACCACTATACAGGGAAGGTGACACGGGAGCTCTGGTTGCAATGGCCACACGTGAAAATTGAGACACACCCAATTCCGATGTAAGAAACCATCATTTATTGTTATGATGACCACAAACCTCTTACTCGCATGCACCCAACTCCTCCTTTGCCGGTGAGAGGAGAAGACTGCAGATGCTTTTGCAGTTTTTGGCAGCACCCAGAAACCAGGGAACCATGGCCTATCCCACATCTTAGTGAGGAAGCAGCACCTTGAGCCAGGCACTGTTTCTTCTGAAGTTGCTATAAATAAACTAAGCTCCAGGCCCCATCTGGGAGCCACACAAAACTTCCTGCAGGTTATCAGGATACTATAAATTTTTTATATATATAAGCAGCAGATAAAAGCCATAAAAAGCATATTGAAATAATGAGTTAAGCCAAGTGATTTTAAGGGATATTCATTATATAAACATATATTCATTATGTTCATTATCTGGTCTAAAATGAAATCTGAGTTTAGTATAAATATGCTAAATCCAACATTTCTCTTAAAACTGAATTCAGGATCCTCTAACAAAAGGGTTACCAAACCTTTTGGACCAGCGGGCACATTTTGAAATACTGTGGGTGCCAGTCGCAAAATGCCTTCCATGAAGTGGGTGCATAATTGTATTTTCATGAATTGGGTCCTATAATTGTATTTTCATACTAGGAAAGGTTAAACCTATTGAATTTCTGCCTGCCATAGAGCTCTTAAATACACGCAAGAACCCTCCCTTCCAATGCCAAACCTGAAACCAAAACATAGGCTGCCATCCTATGTCCTCTTACATGGGAGTAAGCCCCATTAAACACAAAGAGACTTACTTCTGAGTAGACATGTATACAATTGTGATGCAAGTCAACCATACGGTACAATTGGTTTTAGCTCCGGCACAGGAGGAGACATGCCCAAGCCTCTTTGTTTTCACATGAGCTGGGGGGACATTCTTAAACATCCATCCATCCATCAGTGTAATAGTATTTGGAGAAAATAACCATGTAGCCTGCGAGTCCCAGTTTGGACTCACAGCTGTCCATTGGAGGCACAGTTCATCTGTGTCCAGGCAGCTGTCTACCAGGTCCATCTGGTAGGCAGGCTGAGACCCTACCTGCCCACGGACTGTCTCGCCAGAGTGGTGCAATGCTCTGGTTATCTCCCGGCTTGGACTACCTGCAATGGCTCTACGTGGGGCTACCTTTGAAGGTGACTCGGAAACTACAATTAAACCAGAATGCAGCAGCTAGACTAGTGACTGGGGGCAGCCGCAGAGACCACGTAACACCGGTCCCAAAAGATCCACAATGGCTCCCAGTACATTTCTGAGCACAATTCAAAGTGTTGGTGCTGACCGTTAAAGCCCTAAACGGTATTGGCCCAGTATACCTGAAGAACCGTCTCCACCCCATCGTTCAGCCCGGACACTGAGGTCCAGCACTGAGGGCCTTCTGGTGGTTCCCTCACTGTGAGTAGTGAAGCTACAGGGAACCAGGCAGAGGGCCTTCTCAATAGTGGTGCCCGCCCTGTGGAACACCCTCCCATCAGATGTTAAGGAGACGAGTAATTATATAACATTTAAGAAACATCTAAGGCAGCCCTGTATAGGGAAGCTTTTTAAGGTTTAATGTTTAACCATGTTTTTATATGTGCTGGAAGCTATGCAGAGTGGCAACCCAGTCAGATGGGCAGGGTACAAATTATTATTATTATATCTGAACTCAGAAGAACCTACCACAAGAAAGACGCATCCGCAACAGAAAGAGACAGGCTACAGAGATTCGAAGAGCCAGAAAACAAGGCAGAAGCAGGAAAAGTGCATGAAAAGGGAGGAGAAAACAGCAGCTCTTTAGGACGCCAGGGATTCCTAATGCCCTGTGTTCCAACAAGTCACTCATCACTCACAGCTCTGACTCACTCATTGGCTGAAAACACTGACAGGAGTTTAGCAGACATCACTTAGAAGGATATGGGCATATTTTGCTTCACAACTTTCTTTACAGGAAATCCTGGGGCCACTGCTTGGGGGTGCCAATGAAGACCTTCTCAAGTACCATGGCATACATGGGCAGTGCATAGGGAACCCCTGCTCTGACACATAGGGAGGGAAATAACAAACTTTTTATTAAGAAATGGTTTATTGAATACCTACGAACAAATCGCACACAGATCAAGACATTAGCGGGACTATTGTAAAGGCTTGCAGTTTCTTAAAAGTAATAGATTTTTTAAAAAGAATAATTTGGGATACGCAGGGAAAGACAAAAACAATTTTAAGGAACCGCAGAAAGCGGGGGAGAGAAGTCAAGATTTAAAATGACAGAATTACCGTTGATTGATTTGTGAAATGTTTTCTTTGTTATAACTGAAAACCACAAATAAATATTTTTTTTAAAAAAACAGGGAGGGAGGGAGGGGTGGAGACAGGAGAGAACAAATAAAAAGTCTGCTATTCTTTGCACGCAGGGGGCATATTTCAAGGCAAGCTTTATAAATATCATCCCATAGCTCATGTTTGTTGTATTTATTGCCACCATTTATGACTATCAAACAAAGTTGACATTTACTTTCCATCTCATGGTGAAACATACACTGCTTTTGCCAGCAATTATTTACCAGCTTGGCTTCTGATAAAATCCGGAGCAACAGATTGTGGGGCAGCCCTGTACTGGGTCGTGGCCCCTTGTCCTCAAGGGAGTGATCTTCCTAAGCACTAAAAATAAATTAATTCCACTTCACAATTGCTCCCTTGCCTCTAAGCCATGTGCACTGCATGCCCAGACATTGTGGTGGTGTAAAAAGCTTTCTTTAGTTGCAAAACCAGTATGTTTCTAATCCAGCTATTATGCCTGCTTGTTCAGGAAATGCACGATTTACAAAAAGGGCAAGGAATTAACCAGGTGTTTTCTCAGAGCATATTTAGACAGGTTCACTTCCAGTTTGAAAGCAATGCTAGGTAATTGGGCTCCAAACTTTTTTATTATTAATCCTTTGAGAATGTTTAATTTTTGCTCAGTTTTGCATGAATCAGGGCTGCAGCCCACACTAT